TCGGCCCGAGGGTCAATCCCTCCTGCTGACGTACAAACAGGAACCAAGGCTCAACTACAACAGGAGGACACATACAACCCATGCAAGGGGCACACCTGGAGCATACAGCTCAGGTGACCAGAGAGACTATGTCACGGGGCCCCAAAGACACCTACCACATTATGCCACTCTACTGAAACTGGAAGACCTAGCCACTTTACCTAATACATAGAAACAAACACACTTTACCTAATACATAGAAACAAACACAAGGAGGCAGCCAAAATGGGGAGACAAAGAAACATGTTCCAAATGACAAGTCAGAACAAATTTCCAGAAAAAGAACTAAATAAAATGGAGACAAGCAATCTACCAGATGCAGAGTTCAAAACACTGGTTATAAGAATGCTCAATGAATTTAGAGGAAGAGTAGATGAACTCAGTGAGAACTTTAACAAAGAGATAGAAAATATAAAGATGGATACAGAAAACATAAAAAAGACCCAGTCAGAAATGAAGACTACGATAACTGAAATGAAGACTACATTAGAGGGAATCGACCATAGACTAAATGAAACAGAGGCTCAAATCAGCGATTTAGAAGATAAGGTAGCAGAAAACACCCAATCAGAACAAGAAAAAAGAATCCAAGAAAATGAGGGTAGTTTAAGAGGCCTCTGGGACAATCTCAAGCATACCAACACTTGCATCATAAGGATATCAGAAGGAGAAGTGAGAGAGAGCAAGGAATTGAAAACTTTTGAAGAAATAATGATGGTAAACTTTCCTAACCCAGTGAAGGACATAGACATAGAAGCCCAGCAAGCACAGAGAGGCCCAAACAAGATGCATCTAAAGAGACCAACACCAAGACACATCATAATTAAAATGCCAAAGATTAAAACCAAAGAGAGACTCTCGTAAGCAGCAAGAGAATAGCAGTCAGTTATCTACAAGGGAGATAATAATTAAAATTATTTTTTAATGATTAAATAAATAAATAAATGAAGACTAGAGCTATGCTGGTGTTGGTTAAGGTACCCAGTGAGGCACTTTTTTCCTTTTCGTTTTTATTTTATTTATTTATTATTTCAGTGAAGTTTTTTGAGGCCCTAGGATCTTTTCATCTTTCCCCTCCTCTATCCTGAGCACATTAGCCTTTTGTCTCAGTCTTGTTAACTAATAGTCTCAAGGTAGCTGCCGCATTGCTAGCCTTCCAATCCAAGTTCAAGGCAAAAGAAAAGGGAAGGAGGTAGCATCAATTAAGTTTTCTTTGACTTTCATTATGAAAAGCTACATCAAGTTATGTCTCATTGGCTATAACTAGGTCACGTGACCACCACTAGTTGAGAAGGATGCTGGGAAAGCAAGCACCTGGTTTTCCAGCTTCAATAATGGGGATCAGCAAGAAGAGGGGTACATGTGGCTGTGGGCTCAACAAATTTTTTAAATAAATATGACTAGAAAGGAAGCTGAAAAATGCTTCTCTTTTCCCAAGTGGAATGTCCTATGCAGTTATTTTGAGAAAGTCAGCACTATATTAGTGAAGTTCTTAGTTATTCATACTGCTATCTTATCTTCACGCGCTAGAGCAGGAACAACTCGAGCTTTCTCTAACAAGTACGGGCAGGAAGTGGAATGGGAGGCGGGGTCAGAGTTCATGAAAAACTTAGCTTGGAGGAATTTCACTCTGGTATTTTCCTGAGAGGATACTTTATACACACTCGCCTGGTCAGAAAAGGCATGGCTTTCATGTCCTACCGACGGTCATTCTCCTCACATGGCCAGCCAAGTGTAACTTGTTGAGAAGTTTCTGGTTCTGACTGGTTTTTATTACCTTCTGATGCAAACACATTGTCATGACATTTGCATGGGAAGGTGACATGTTGACAGTGAAAAGGAAACTTGCCACGTGGGACGTGAACACACAATGCAATCTCTCTTTCTCACTGAGGAGTAGTGCTATTAATACTAATGAAAACGCGCAAGTAAATGAAAAGGTGCTTAAAAAGTACCCGGCATACAAGAGGCACTTAATAAATGTTAGATGTTATCAATTTATTATGATTTTTAATAAGAATGATGCTTCTTTTCTACTTGCCCACCTTGCCAAAAAGGATCTCTTTTCCTCCCATATTCCTCAGATATGTTTGGACAAAAGGACAAGATCTAAGATTAAATTATGCAATTCTCTGTCTTCACTGACACTCCCCATGGGTTTTCTGGAAGAACCTTGGGCAGGCAAGACACACTTGAAGTTTTCTCGGGCATGTATGAAGTGCTCTGGTTGAGTAAACTGTCATCACACTGAACCTGGTCTTTTAGGGAGGCAATCTGAAACCCTAATTGTTTTCAAAATTTTTCTGCTCTTGGAAACCACTTTATTTCCTGGTGGCATTTAATTCTATCAGTTTTCTGAACACAATGGAAAGGAAGTTGTTTACAACCAGTATCTCTGTATAAAAGAAGTAGAAAGTCTTCTAATAGATCTCGTCTACATAGATAAGGGTAATTTTGATCATATTTCCTAATACAGATACTTTACAATGCTCACTTGATTATCTGTTGTATTGTACTTTAACAATTATGAAAAAAATGCGAGGTCGATGGTTCAGTGGAAGGCAGTCACCGATGTTATAGAGATAACTACGATGTGTAGACTCATCAGTTATTCTTAACTTTTCTTTTATTTCCCCTTTAGGCTAGGAGGTAGTAAAGTATAAAGATTACGGGGCCAGGATTAGGAATCCAAGAGTCTTGAGTTGCTGTTTTATAGTTCTGCAACTTTGGGCCCATTACTTATTCTTTTTGAATCTCATTTCCTTATCTACAGAGTGAGCAAATTAATAGCCTTACCATGAAATCACTGCAAGCGTTAAATAAAATATTATATGAGAAAGTGCTCTGTAAAGTGTTCAGTTACAGGTAAAGAAAACCAAACCCAAACACTTTAAGCAAAATGAGAATGTATTAGCTTTCATAATGAAGAGTCGGAGCTTCAGGCATGCCTCCATCTAAGGGCTCCAACATTGTCATCGAGTCCAGATTTCACGGTACTTTCATTTCACTTCCGTCCCCATCGGCCCTATCCTCGGACAGGTCCTCCGTTGGCCGGCAAGGTGGCTGCAACAGCTTCAGTCTTTCTCTTCCAGCTTCAAGTCCAGGCGGAAAGAGAGGATACCTCTCCTCCAGCAGTGCTAGCGAAAGTGTCCATGCATTTCATTGGCTCTGAATAGAGTATCCCGGAACCAGTGCAGCATTGTGATTGGTCACAAGCCCACTTCTGTAGCACAGGGTGGAGTCAGTTCCCCCTGCCCGGACTGAAAATGCCGTGGTTTCCAAGAAGGAAATTGGGGGTGCTATTGCCAAGGACGGGGAAACTCAGTTTGCCAGGGTCAGGGTGGGAAAAAAGGCAAATTTCGCCTAGAAGACCATAAAAATGAAAGCGAATATGGACTTTAACAGCAATCCTAGAATATCGTATGGAGATCATTCTTGGACCTTAAAAGAAATAAAGTTAGGTCAAATGAAGAAAATGCCTCCTGGTACTGTAGTCATGAACTTATATATTATTATTTCAAGAACTGAATGAAAATACAGATTTTAAAAAAGTTTTGATGAAAGATTCACAATGAGAAACCAGAATGTTTTGGGGATGGGGCGGCGTGGGAAGTGGCATCTGGCACTGTGAAAAGTCAATAGTTGAGGACATCTACGCCCATCAGCAGAATGCAGAGCAGCAAGGATTGAGCAGACAAGGCTTGAGTTTTCAGTTAGTGGAGGGATGGGTGGCGCGGCAGAGGGGCTGGAGTCTCCGAGTTCCCAGTCGTCTCCGAGTTCCCAGTCGTCTCCGAGTTCCCAGTCGTCTCCGTCTTATCTTGGGGAATGGCTGGTCCCAGACAAAGATCTTCAGTTTGAGCTCCTCCTGACAAGCAGTGGTTCCCAAACCTGGCTGCTCACTAAAACGACCAGCGTTTTTGAAAAGATGATTCCAGGAAGCTCCTGCTGGCCATCGATTCACTCAGCCTGGGGTGGGGCCCAGAAATCTGGATTTTGAACAAGTTTTATGCAGCCAAGACTGCTGTTTGTGTCTTCAGGGGCCCTGTCCATCCCTCCCCAGCTGCACTCCCCACTTCGTACTGGACAGATCTGTTGACATCGCTGTTCCTTCCTCAGAGTACGGACCGACCGCAGGGGCAGAGACTCGTGCAGCTTCGGGTACTCGGCACAGGCGCGGCACTGGGCGTGGAGTGTTTGTTGAAGGAAGGCTGGAGGACACACAAGCAGGCAGCAGACAAGCCGCCTTTTCTCATGTGGGCTTTTTTTGGGAAAGAAAAACTTCTATTTCTGGAAGAAGCTGAGGTGGTTGAGAAAAGATCATGGCAGCAAAGGAGGAAAGGCCACTGGGGGAAGGAATCAGCTCAAGGTTCCCCCAGACTCTTAAAAAGATTCCTCCATAACTTTAGTAACAGAGCAACAACGACGGTGATGACAATTATTTATGAGTGCCACTGCATGCCAGGCACTGGTCAGTATTATATCCCCACTTACAGATGAGGGGAGGGAGGCACAGGGCACACCAGGAGGAAGAAACACAGCTGGGACTCTACAGCCTGAGCGAGGAACTGCCACCCCACCTGCCTCTCACGTCTCACAGGTGTGGCGGCATAGTTCTGAGAAAACATCATGCATATCTGTCAGGTGCCCATCTGGATCGTAGGAGCATCCAGCAAAAATGAGTCAATAGCTGAGGAAATCGGGAGGGAGCAAAGGGCCGCTTCAGAAAGAAACCATTGTACATCTCTCCAAACAGGCTGTTTTCAGTCCAGTTTTTATTCCCCTGTTCCTATGTGCTAAAGGTCACTAGCTACGTCTGCACAAACCTGTGAAGTTGGAGGAGAAAGCGACAGAAGAGAAGGAGGCGAGGCAGTTCTGCAAAGGCCAGCCTGGCCTGCTTGCCCTCCCTAACTGGCCCAATGACCTTCTTTCCTCCAAGTGGCCACTCCCCTGGGCGGCTTTCCCACACGCCCTCCAAAAGCTCCGCTTTAGGAGTCAGGCTGCATTTCTGCGATCGGCTGGCTGGGTCCTGCTTCCTACTTCTCAGGCAGAAAAGCTCTCTTGGAAGAGCTGGAAAGGTGGGTGCCAAGTTCAGGTTCATTTCACTCTTCTCTGAGTGTGCTTATTTTACGTTTGAAACCGGGGTGGAGCATCGGGCCTAACTTGGGAAAGTATTTAATCATCTTCTTGAGAAACACAATGATGGAGCCTGGCTGCTCTGAGGGGGTTAGCGGGGTGATGGCGTGAGGAAGGCAAGGGGGACATAAGGATTCTCTGAATCTGCAAGGGCCAGGTGGAGAGGACTTTAGCGTTAGGAAGAGAAATCTGCAGGGAGGAAGTTTGCTCCCTCTGGATGTTACATGCCTCTGGTGGTGGGAGCTACTGAGGAAAAGCTACCTGCTTGGGAAGGCACAGAGGGGAGGGCCTGGTGGCTCTGGCTCACAGCCAGCTCTCCTTCTAGGACAGAGCCAAGAAATTAAAACACACCGGGCATCAGAAGGGCTGCCACCTTCCCAGATCCAGACTGGGGAAGGAGGCGCAGGCTCGGCGGCCTCTTCTGTGCCCTTTCTCTGATAGTCTTGCCTTCTGCTCCAGAGCAGGCATACAGCAGGCCCTGAAAAAAACCATTTCGCTTGCTTATCCACAGCTCAAATGAAGGGGGTGACTGTGCAAGAAAGATGAGCCTTATGCGGGCTGACCTCAGGGGATAGAAGGCAAAGGCTTAAGAAACAAAGAGTCAGGGCATACCTGGGATTCAGAAAGCATTTTCTTTCTGTTAAGAGAAAAACATCTCTATAGCATGTTAATTATTACTCAAGTGTTCCTGAAAAAGAACAATCTGGTTTTGCTCTATGTTTTTAAGGAAGAACTTTCCAATCTATACTGAGCCATCCTGAGGAGGACGGCCCTGAAAGGAGTAGGGTGGTCCCTGATGACAGAAAGCTTGAGGCCAAGGCCCAGAAGGGTGGTCCCCCATTTCTGCAGCCGCTTCCTGGGGCTTCGGCGTCGTAAGCCACACCAGGCCACATCGGTGATGGCTGGCTACCTTGATGTCACTTTCTGGGCCTCTCTTCCTACCTGCCACTTCTTGGAGCCTTTCCTGGGCTCTCCCCCCTCCCACAGTTTTACTATCCTTTCTCAGCTAAGGGACCTGAAATCTCTATCAGTCGTTTGTCTCCGATCACTAAGAAAAGAGCTGCCATTTGCTGAGAACGTTTTTAGGTACCAGGCTCTGAGCTAAATGCCTAGGATGACAGCCATTCAGTGTGGTGTCTACACCTGGGGCTTGGAGCAGACCATACACTTTCCGATCTTGCTCTCCGTTATTATCGAATGTGTAACCTTGAGCAAGACACTTGCCTTTCTGCACCTCAGTTTCCCTAAACTTCAGGATGGGTGTGATAATAATAACTACCCCACATGGCTCTTGTGAGGCTCACGTGAGTGAACACATGCCTGGCACATGTGTTCAATGAACGCTAGCAGTCTGAATGGTGTCTTGTAAGCCTCGCAACAAGCCGCGAAGGGAACTGTTATTATCTCTATTTGCAGATAAGAAAGCTGAGGCTCGGAGAGGAGGTAAGGCCTTACTCGAATTTGCAGCCCAGCATTTTCTCTGCTACTCCGCAATAAAAGTGACAATAACAGCTAACCCTGAGAGAGTAAGTGGCAGAGTTGGGCTTCAGATCTAGGCAGTGAGTATCAGAATCCATTCGTTTAATCACCCTACTAGATTGCCTTGCTGTAATGGTTATGGAAAAAATAAATATTCTACCCCGGCATCAACTTTTAGGATGGCATGTGCTTTGGGGTTGGAGAAGGCCTTTGCAAGTGCAGCTGACCCTCACACCAGTTCTTTGGAGGGAGCACTGGTCCCTGTGGGCAGACGTAAAAATGTGCAAACAGCCTGGCATATAACATCTCATTTAATCATCGCCTGCTCCTCTGTGGTGTTACCGGCCTTATTTTACAAGTAGCTGAGAAAGAGTCGTACCTTCTCCCACGATGTCACAGTTATTATATGTTGGGCTTAGGATTCGAATCTGTGTCAGACTCTAAAATCCTTGGCTGGTTCCCAGAATCTCTGATGGAGTTTAAAACAATAAAATAAAAATTCCCACCTACTGAATCAGAATCTCTCAGGGTGGGGCCTGGGACTCTGATTTTTTAAGAACCAGAATCTGATGCACAGCCAACACTGAGAAACTTTCCCAGCTACGCTGCCTCTTCCAAGCGCCACAGTCATGTTTCCAACTGTCTGCTGAGCATCCCACCTGGGCACTCACCAGCATCCTCTCCTCCTTCTCCTCGGGGCTTCAGACCACCGTCCAGGCACCCAGTCTCCCCTGCTGGGAGCTCAGTCGTCCTGCAGTGCTCCTCCTCCTTCCCTCCTACCCGGGCTTCCCATGATGTCTCCCCCACCCATGCCCTCTTCTACCTCTGCTGCCTCTGCCTTGGAGCAAGCCTTCGTCATTGCTGGTTTGGGGTACTGCAGCAGCCTCCCAATTCCTCTTCCTCTGACTGTCTGTTTCCTTCTGTCTCCATCTCTCCTTAGGCTATTCCCATTCCTTCTCTCCATCCCGTCCATTTCCAAAGTCCAGCCCAAATCCTCTCTCCTGCCAGACTTAATGAACTAAAAACTATCTCATCACCCACTTTTCTGCTCAAAAACGTTCACCGGCACAAGCCTCCCAGTGAATATCCACACTCGGCACAGTAAAACCAGACCCTCAGTCCCTGGCTCAACTCCTTCCTGGTGGCACAGGCCATGTCCCAGCCACACTGAATTGTCCCCCGACCCTCAAACAAACTGTGTCCTTCCACAGCTGATGAATATGTCATGTTCTTCTTCCTGCCTAAAATGGGCTTCCAGCCTAGCTTGGCTGAAAAGCTCCTCTATTTGTCTTGTGGGACCCAGCTCAAAGTCACCTCTTCTGGGAAGTCTTCCTGGAGGTTCCCAGGGTGATGGGCACTACTTCCTCTGTCCTTCCCCAGCACAAGGCTGCATCTTCAATCACAGGATAGAATTGGAATAATTTGAGAACATCAAATTAGTGAACTCCTCATTCAACAATCACATATTAAATGTCTTCTGCTGCCAGGTGCTGGGGATACTGAGGCATAAAAGTTTCTGTCTTCCAGTCTACTGAGTATGGCAGAGAAGAGGGCCTAGAGCACTTCAGACAGAGGTCACAGCAGTGCAAAGAACAAGAAGGCCTGGGTGGCAAGTCATGCATGCCTGTAAGGGAGGATGCTTAAAGACAGTGGCAGGCTGTGAGGAGGGAAGGCCAGGCGAGAGGGGAGGTCTGCAAGGGCCGGGAGATTCCGCCTCATGTGCCCTGAGACCCGCCCCATGTATGCACACAGGCTTTGAGAGGACCCTGATCAGACTTGTGCTGATCCTGAGATTCCCTGAGAGGTTTGGTTGGTTTTTTTTTTTTTGAGATTTTTGTGTCGTCCAACTTTACAACTACATCATTTAACACAATGCCTGGAACACAAGCCCTGGAGACACGTGGGCCGAAAGAATGAATGAATGCACGCTGGGCAAGGGTGACCCTTGGAGGGGACGGGCTAGCACCAAAGACCTGGGGTCCCTGAGAATCTAACCTCTAAGCCTCGCTCCGCCCCCACCCCGGGGGTGCCTGCAGGTGCCCCCCTCCAGCCATGCTGTCATTGCTGTGTGCCTGCTTGCTCCTGGTGGCCTGCGCCTCGGAAGGCAGCTTCGACATGGAGGACCAGATCCGCGACATTCACGCCAAAGTGATGGAGATCTGGCAGGAGATGACCGGGGGGCGGGCGGTCCGCGGAAGCAGCGCGGACCCCACACTGCACGCCGCCTGCGAAGTGCGGCCATCGGCCTCTCTGGACGCCTCGGAGCCGCAGGTGACCGGCCGCGTGCTCTTCAGGCAGCTGGCGCCCGGCGCCCGGCTCGAGGCCTTCTTCGCGCTGGAGGGCTTCCCGGCCGAGCCCAACGTCTCCAGCCGCGCCATCCACGTGCACCAGTT